TCTCTCTATATATATATATATATATATTTATTTGAAGTCAAAAATTTTATATTCCAGGCTTTTTAAATTGTTCAGCAAGTTTTACAGATTTTTTTAGATGATGCAAATGTTTAGAATTTAACCTCTCATGATTCAAAGGCCCAAATCTTAACTACATCACACGTTTCTCAAGCTTAATAAAATGAATACAAAACCAGTTTAACTCTGTAAAAATTTCCTAAAAACAAGGAAATCTGTATGGCTTGCTCTAATTGTTTAACTTGGCAAGGAAAGTTCTTTTGAGATACTTAAAGGTTGAGATGTGTGTGTAAAAAAGTGTGAATTATCATAAAATTAAAGTTGGAATTGATCTGAAGTTTTTCATTTTAGGGTTGGGAAGCTGCTATGAAGAGAGGCTACGATCAGCGCTACTGTTGGGAAAATTTTTTATCACATAGCACTCTCAAGGTATGCACTATTTTGACATCAATGAAACAAGAACTGTATAGATGGCTATGTTTTATATTATTTTGAGAAATGCACTATGTTATAAAATAACCTATTGTCCAGTTATATGTATTTACGTAATATCAAAAACAAACTTAGAAGTTGTTTATTTTGTTATGTTTGAAATTTTCTTACTTTGATTACCAAATTAAGAAACACTTTTCTTGCTGTTCCCTTAACAGACGGCAGCGTGTTAAGTGTTTTTTTATTCCATCATTAAAAAAGATAATTATTTGTCTTGGAGTACTATTGAAAACATGTATTTAATATATTGGAACACTTTCATCATTTTTCTGCCTCTTGTATGGAATATTATTATATAATTATATCATATCTGCTTAGTTCGTCTATATTATGAAATAATATTTAACTGTATATTGTTTGTATTGTAAGAAAATATTTTAACTGTTTGAAACAAGATTTGTCTAATTTATGAAAGAATATTAACACTTCATTTCTGTATTGTTTGTTGTCTCTATTGTAATATTGAGTTTGCAGAGGGTTAAGTATGCTGTATTGAAACGATTTTGAATATTCAAATCAGGAAGTCATGCAACTGCCATGGCTGATGTAAGGACATCATGGATCAACATGATCAGAACTACATTTTAATGTTGGTTGTGTGATGCCACCTGATGGTTTGGATGCTCAACTCATCGATCCACAAATTCAATTTCCATTACCAAACACATTCATCCATTTAGCTGTGGGGACATTATAACGTGATGGCCAATCTCACTATTTGATTAGAGTAGTCCAAGAGTTGTCAGTTGCTGGTGTTGACTAGCTGCCTTCCCTCTAGTTTATAGTGAGAGCTGTTGACTAGCTGCCTTCTCTCTAGTTTATAGTGACTGCTGTTGACTAGCTGCCTTCCCTTCCCTCTAGTTTATTACTACTAAATTAGAGGCAGCAAGTGCAGCTAGCCCTTGAATAACTTTGAGCAAACAAAAGCCATCAATAATTTATCGGTTTTAGGAAGTTTATATAACAGACTTTTCCAATGATGCAAGATATTCATACACTCAGATTTGGGATTTAGAATTTTCAAAATGGGGATATCCATTGTAATTTAAGGTGTTGGATAACAAAAGAGTATGGATCATCTTGGGGGCAGCACCATTCAGAAAGAAGCCTACAACAAGTTGTACCTCAGTTATGGTAAGCAAAATTACAGCATCTTGTAACAGTGCACAACATAATTAAGAAGAATCTCCATATTGAAAAGTGACACAAGTTGTTTCCATGACATTCAAGAAAGGAAGAGCAACTACAGAAAAGAGTGTGAACAGTACTTAGCCAGGAAAAAACAACCGTGAGTGATGACCCTCTACAAAGCGCATGTACCTTGATAACAGTAACAAGTCTTGTACCATTTTGTACTGGTCATTGTTTCAAAAAAGTTCCAAAAGTAATACACGACATGTCCCTAAACTTTTTTCTAAGGAATTTGTGATCACCACTGGATATGGCACCGGGGGACAAATTAGAGATTGGAAAAGTGGATACAGAAGTCAAAGTGTGAACTCTGCTTACTAACAGACGATTGTCCTGGATTCCCTTTTACCTCACAGAAGTACTGGGTTTGTATGGAATCTAGGACAACAGGGTATGGTATCTCCAAGATAAGTCTTCCAATCATACCTCCTGTTCAACTGTTGCACACCTCAAGAAACTAGAGAATGAAATGAATATTCATGATATTATATAAGAATACATATCAGTCAAGTCGCCAGACTCTGCATCTATGGATTTCTGTGGGATTGGACTATTGAAAAGGGTGTTGAGAAACCACCATACTTGTATACTAGATAGATTATGGACAATAAAAAAAGATAAGTGATGTGTTTTGGGTCATGATAGAATTATGTCAAAAGTCTTTTGCCTTTTACATTGAAAACTATGCTGCAGGGCTGTTGTTGAAATGCTCAGTCGTCAATTAGAATATGACTGGACATGGCAACATGTACTTTAATGATGTGGTGAACCAACAATATAATTTTAACATAACGTAATCAACCTGTGTATTCATTATATGTCTTAGGAAAGGAAATTTATTTGGCTGTTCTATTGATATTTATTTAAAACTAGGATGGGGAAGATAATGTTGCGGGCTATTTTGAATCCTTTAATCTTGCAAATTCTTGGAATATTAAAGAAAACTTATTTAGCTGCACCAATTTTTCTATAGAAAAACGTTTGTAAAGTTATATCAGATCTTTTTTTTTAATCTGTGTGTTTTGGTTAATTGTGTAGTTTTGTATCCACTGTGTTTTAACTGTATCAAATGCCTGTTGCTTATATTTAAAATGAATATTTATTTAACTCTATACTTGTATATAAGATAGTAATGTTTAATACAAAAACCTTGTAATTATAAATCTCTTCACAGGAAAGATATTTTGCTTACTGGATTATTTGTCTCTTGTTCAGTCAGTGGATTTGAACACTAATGTGTTTATTCCTTTACAGATGTTGGCAAATTTGAAGAAACAGTTTACTCAGTATCTTCATGAACTTCAATTTCTTCACTGCGATGATCCTAAACATAAAGATTTCAACAGAAATTCAGGTATTCACTAGTTTAGCTCCTTTGATATGAATGTGCTTACATTTTCACAGATTTTGTAAAATTCAAGTTTTTAATAGTGCTCTATGAATTTTGACTGTAACTGGTAATATCAAAAAAACATCTTTATTTATGGAAGTTTCAGAATTGCTCCAATTACATCACCAGTGTTAAAAATCTCAAAAGTTAGTTCAAAATATTCTAACTACAAAAAAACTACATTAGCTATTAAGTGAGTATTTTCTTTTTGTGCAATAAGTTTAGAAAGAACAGATTTAAATGGTAACAATATAATAGAATGTGCGATGAAACATGCAGCATACATATGAAAAATATTGTTAAGAGAAAATATTATAAAAAAAAGGATTAAATATAAGTATAAACACTTAGAATCTGGAATTAAATTAAAGACAACATTAAATAATAACATCAACTCCTTCCTATTGCTATTAATTTAATCAATTATAGATTCAGTGTTTTTATTTATTATCATTGTTTTTTTTTAAATGCTGTGTTCATACTTATATTTAAACCTTTCTTTGTAATATTTTTCCCTTAACAGTATTATTAAACATATATATGCTACACATGTTATCATACATTCCATTATATTGTAACAATTTATACACGTTCTTTCTAAATATTTGATTGTAAAAATTAGTTGCTTAAATTATTTACTTGTGCAACTTCACTTTACTCATGCTACTTCCTCATCAGCATGAGATTTGGCATATAAATTACTTTACTCATGCTACTTCCTCATCAGCATGAGATTTGGCATATAAATTACTTTACTCATGCTACTTCATCATCAGCATGAGATTTGGCATATAAATTACTTTACTCATGCTACTTCCTCATCAGCATGAGATTTGGCATATAAATTACTTTACTCATGCTACTTGCTCATCAGCATGAGTTTCAGCACATGTACTACCTTACACATGCTATTTGCTCATTAGCATGACTTTCATCACATCAATTACTTTATTCTTCCTACTTGTTAATCAGCATGAGTTTCAGCACATAAATTACATTCATGTAATTTGTTCATGGCCATGACTTTCAGCACATAAATTAGTATACTCATGAGATTAACATGAGATTCGGCACAAAAAATTCTTTACTCATGCTACAGGCTGGTTAGCATGAGTTTCAGCACATAAGTTACTATACACCTGCTACTTGCTCATTAGCAAGAGTTTGAGCACGTAAATTACTTTACTCATGCTACTTGCTCATCAGGATGAGTTTCAGAACATGTATTACTTTACTCATGGTACTTGCTCATTAGCATGAATTTCAGCACATGAATTACTATACTCCTGCTACTTGCTCATTAGCAAGAGTTTCATCACATAAATTACTTTACTCATGCTACATGTTTAATCACATAAATTACTTTATTCATGCTACTTGCTCATCTGCAGGAGTTTCAACACATAAATTACTTTACTCATGGTTGATGCTCTTCACCATGAGTTTCAGTTACATGGGTTTCAGTAGATAAATTACTTTACTTGTGCTACATGCTCATCAGCACGAGTTTCAGTAGATAAATTACTTTACGTATGCTACATGCTCATCAGCACGAGTTTTAGTAGATAAATTACTTTACTTATGCTACAGGCTCATCAGCATGGGTTTCATCACATAAATATCTACTCATTCTACTTGTTCATCTGCATAGTTTTGAGCACTTAAATTATTTACCCATGAAACTTCACTATGAGCAAGAGTTTCATCACATAAATTACTTTACTCATGCTACATGTTTAATCACATAAATTACTTTACTCATGCTACATGTTTAATCACATAAATTACTTTATTCATGCTACTTGCTCATCTGCAGGAGTTTCAACACATAAATTACTTTACTCATGCTACATGTTTAATCACATAAATTACTTTATTCATGCTACTTGCTCATCTGCAGGAGTTACAAAATAAATTACAAAACTCGTGTAATTTGTTCATGACCATGACTTTCAGCACATAGATTACTATACACCTTCTACTTGCTCATTAGCAAGAGTTTCATTACATAAATTACTTTACATATGCTACTTGCTCATTAGCATGACTTTCATCACATCAACTACTTTACTCATGCTATTTGCTCATTAGCATATCTTTCATCACGGCAATTACTTTACTCATGCTACTTACTCATCACCATAAGTTTCAGCACGTAAATTACTCATGTAATTTTTTCATGACCATGACTATCAGCACATAAATTACTATATTCATGCTACTTCCTCATCCGCATAAGATTTGGAACAAAAATTTCTTTACTCATGCTACAGGCTGATTAGCATGAGTTTCAGCATATAAGTTACTTGCTACTTGCTCATTAGCTAGAGTTTGAGGATGTAAATTACTCATGCTACTTGCTCATCAGCATGAGTTTCAGCACATGTTTTACTCATGCTACTTGCTCTTCAGCATGAGTTTCAGCACATGTTTTACTCATGCTACTTGCTCTTCAGCATGAGTTTCAGCACGTTTTACTCATGCTACTTGCTCATCTGCATGTGTTTCAGCACGTGTTTTACTCATGCTACTCAGTATTAACGTGTTTTTTAATAGTTACTATGAAACCTCATTTTCCACCTGATGAGTAAATTTTGTTTGAGTTTGTCCCAAAATACTTGTAATTTCAATCTCATCTGATTATTTTACTTTAATAATTGCTTCAATAAACTTATATTAGTTTAAAAATTACATTCTAACAATAATCTCATGTGTGCCTGATTGTTGTACAGTACATAATGTTAAACTGATGATTTACAGAAAGTGTAAATTTGTAGCTTATGTTTGAGTACAAAAGATTTACTGTTTCTTCGTTGCTTGTATGAATCTAGTTACTGTTCAGTGTGTGCTGACATGTAAATATTTACTGTTTAATGTATACCTGTATGAAGGTAGCTACTGTTTGGTGTACACCTGTATGAAGGTAGCTACTGTTTGGTGTACACCTGTATGGAGGTAGCTACTGTTTGGTGTACACCTGTATGGAGGTAGCTACTGTTTGGTGTATACCTGTATCAAGGTAGCTACTGTTTGGTGTATACCTGTATCAAG